AGGCTTCGGCTTCTTCTATATGCACCGCACACACACCAAAACATACACAAGGGTCAATATTTTGAGAAATGGGTTAGGGTTTTGAGATAAAGCTCAAAAGAGGAAATGGATGCTGATAAGGAGTGAGCCTTGGGGATATAAGGTGCTTAAATAGGGTACACACCCTAATAATTAGGGTTTTCCCCTGGCTGACGTACTCCCAGCATACCAGGGGGATAAACCTATGTTATGCATGCTTTGAAAGACGCTCGACGTACCTTATGTACGCCCAACGTACAAGGTCCTTAAGCCAATAAGAGAAAAATAATTAGCTAAAGATTTTACCTGACATATCGGGCGTTACAGATACGACTTTAATTTGAAGTATACCAAATCCCCAACAATGAATTCTACTTCTCGACGATGCAAATCATCCTGTTTTTTCATCATCTGCTAAGCCTGAAGAAAACATCCCTTTAATTCTTGCAAAACACGGTCCCGTTCCGCCAAGTACTCCTCAATCGACCCACCCAAAGTGGTTTCGTGACCATAATAAAGTAGATGTGGCGGATCTCTTCCATATAACACTTTAAAAGGTGTAGTTTTTGTTGAAGTATAGAAAGAGGTATTTTACCAATACTCCACCCAATCAAATCCATTTAGCCCACCATTTTGGAGTATACCGAACAAAACACCGAACATATGTATCTACACAACTATTAACAACCTCTATTTGTCCATCCGTTTGGGATGGTACGTAGTACTATGCTTAAGGACCATTCCTTGTAGTCGAAACAATTCTCGCCAAAACTGACTTAAAAACACCTTGTCGCGATCGAAGATGATTGACTCGGGTATTCCATGCAAACGAACACTTCTTTAAGGAAAATAGTTGCGACTGACAACACTGTATAAGGGTGTCTAAACGATACAAAATGAGCATATTACTTAATCGATTGATGATCACAAAAATGAAAGTATACCCTTCTGATCCTGGTTAACCGTCAATGAAATCCATAATAATTTTTTACCATACTTTTGTTGGAAGCTCCAATGGTTGCAACAACCCACTTGGCGTTAAAGTGGAATAATTCTGGCGTTGGCAAACGTCACATTCTGCGATCATTGGAGCAATATCGCCCTTCATACCGAACTAGAAAACTTCTGGGTCCATGCGTTGATATGTTTTTTAACCCCTGAATGACCGCCAACAACCCCGTTGTGGAATTATTTAAACAATCTTGGAATCCATTGAGAATCTCGATTCCACACTAGCCGACCATGGTACAATAATTTTCCCGAATCCAACGTATATCCTACAAGTACCAAACTCCCTTTGGACAACTTTTGCTTAATGGAAACGATTTTACTCACTGTTTCAAGGTGTTTTTCAAATCTTTCTAATTAATTTTACACGCCGTTGTGATCGTTTTTAGTTAGGTCTCGAGTGTTTTACGCGATAATGCATCTGGCGCCTTGTTCTTTCTTCTCGAATGATAGACTATATCAAACGTGTACCCCAATAATTTGTATAACCACCGTTGATGATCTTCTGTTACCGTGAGCTAGTTTAATAAACGTTTCAAACTTTTCTGATCCGTGCGAATTACAAACTGTCATCCCATAAGGTATAACCTCCACCTTTGAACCACTAACACTATAGCCATGAGCTCCTGTTCGTAGACTGATTTCATCCGAGCTCGAATTCCTAACACATGGCTATAATAAGCGACTGGTGTCCCTTCCTGCCTTAATACCTCCCTTACACCATACCCTAATGCATCCGTTTCTACCACAAATTCCTTTGAAAAATCAGGTAAAGCCAAAACTGATGCTTGAGTCATAGCGTGTTGTAGTTGCCAAAACACCTTAGTTGATTCATTGCTCCATTTAAACCCATCCTTCTTTAATTTCTCCGTAAAGGGCATGCCTGTTTTCTCGTATCCTTGAACAAACTTGTTGTAGTAACCCGTTAACCCAAAAAGCCCTCGGAGCTAATGTTTTCAGAACTAACCACTCGAGCATAACATTAATTTTGGAAGGATCGACCGCTACCCCTTTTTCCGAAATAATATGACCCAAATATTCAACCTAAGTTTGAGCAAATCAACATTTTTTTCAGTTAGCATAAAAAAAGATTCTCGCGTAGCACCTGCAAGACTGTCGCGAGATGCACGATATGTTCTTTCTCCGTTTTGTTGTAGACGAGAATGTTGTCAAAAAATACAAATACAAAGCATTCTAATAACAGCTAGAATACTTTGTTCATTAATGATTGGAACGTAGCTGGGGCGTTGGTTAGCCCAAACGACATCACCAAAAACTCATAATGACCATCGTGTGTCCGAAAAGCAGTTTTGGGGATGTCTTTTGACTTTATTCGAATATGAATGTAGCTGGATTTCAAATTGATTTTAGAGAATATCGTGGATTCGTGTAGTTAATCAAGGAGTTCCTCAATCGCTGGTATTGAAAATTTATCTAATATAGTGACTTTATTCAATGCGCGGTAATCAACAAAAAATCTCCAGCTATCGTCTTTCCTTTTAACCAATAATATGGGACTAGAAAAAGGACTAGTTCTTGGTTGAATGATTCCCACAAGTAGCATTTCTCGTACCAATTTTTCGATCTTATCTTTTTGTGCGAACGGATAATGCTATGGTCTAATGCTAATAGGAGACATACCCTCTTGTAAGGTGATGGCATGTTTGTGGCTGCGGAACAAGGGTACACGGCTAGGCATCTCAAAAACCTTACCATACTTATCGATCATGTCTTGAAATTTCGTCGGAATATGGGGGGTGTGGTGGTAACCTCTTCTATTGAATTTAAATGTAACAAAAACTCGTTGTTCTCATAGTTTAGGATTCAGTTGAGCGACTTACATGACACCAATGTTTTTGAAAGGCTTGGATCGCATATCAATGAGACTTGACGATTACCTTCGCAGAACGTCATATGTAAATCTTGCCAATTAACAGTCATATCACCCAAAGTAAGTATCCATTTGATGTCGAGAATCACGTTCGAAAGTCCTAATTTTATGGGTAAAAATCTTCTACTACTTGGCATTCGGGTAACACAAGCATGACTCCTTTGCATGTTTTTGAACTTTGAACCGTCATCTCATTACCTAAGCGAACCTGTACCGCGTCAATGCACGATATTACCAACCCTAAGAGAACGACCACCTGTTTAGAGGTGAAATTATGGGTTGCGCCCAAATCGATTAGAACTACTACCTAGGTTTCCCCACTATCCCCTTTCACTTTCATGGTTTGTGGCGACATAAAACCACTAACCAAATTCAATGATACCTCCACCATATTGAGGTGGGCATGATTCAAACTTTCTTCTTCGTTGTCGCTTGCTTCTTCATCCACTACCAGTACTTGCAATGTCTTACTTGGATAACAATGCCTTGAGGTAAAATTTCCATCACATTGAAAGCAAATTCCTTTCGATTTTTTATCTCCTGGTTTCGTTGCAGTTAGTCGTTTGAAAGTCCCTCCCGTATTGTCGCTATTATGTTTTTTGTCACCACCCACTTACCGCCGTTGTTGCTTTCAGGGTTGTTCCTGACTTGGCTTCCCCCACTCCTGTTTGATTTGCAAACTGGTTGCCAATGGTCTTGGTGGCCCCCATAGGTTTACTCTCGTCTATCTTGTCCACGATTCTCATGGCCATGGCTAGGGTTTCGGGTTCCATGATTTGTATGGCTGAACAGAGATACAATTTTAAACCCTTTATGAAAGTACTTTCCAAATCTTTTTTCAGGTAGATCTAGGAGTTAGCCAGCTACACTTTCGAATTTACTGACATATTCTTGGACAGTTACTTTTTGTTGAATGTTTAAGCATTGTTCGTATACACTCCCTTCATGTTACTCTTGGAAGCGATCAAGCAGCTTGCGTTTGAACCCCTGCCATGATCGACATGGAGCCCTAGCCTCATTTCATCAATACCATGACAGAGTTGCGCCTTCCGTGCAGACTGATGATACCCTGGATTTCGAAGTACCGTTCGATCCGGTAAATCCATCCATACATATCTTCTCCTTCAAAGGTGGGCATTTTAAATTTACAGCAGTCTCGTAATGGGTCCTTGATTTTACCAAATTTTCATCCTTGTGATCCCACGAATTCCTCTTCTTCCTCGTCATTATCCCCGAAAGATCCAAACCGAATCTTGGGTTTTTTCTCTTTTTTCTGTCATCCCCTCTTCGAGTCTTCCTTAAAGTCGTTAAGTGCATTCATTAGCTATTGAAATTAAGTGGCACTTTCTACCCTACTTGCTGCTGCTTCTTCATGCACCTTGGCTACATCGGTTTCCCGATTATCAATCCTCTCTATGTTGTTGATTTTTGACCCCATCCCAGATAATCATATTCCAAAATTACCGCTGATGAAAAGTACGCATGAACAGTATGATTGCCTAGAAACCGTATTGCTTTGATACCAATTGATAGGTATAAGATCCAGACCTAGGGTTAGAACCGATTTGCCGCTGTTTGAGAACATATGATCTCCTATATAGTCAAAGACTGATTTTACTAATGATCTCCTATATAGTCAAAGACTGTTTGCAACTTACTCCTTGCCCTCTGATAAACCTGCCCAAATCGTCCAGGAGGTAGGAGGTGGTCCAGGTGTATCAACCACCCAATCCAAAATACATGGGCATTTCGGTTTTCATTAGAACACCACAAAAACAAATAATCTAAAATCAAATAAAATATGAGCTTCTTTCGAGTAGAATGAACAAGCAAAACCAAATCATTACGATATTTCCATAAAACCCACCAATTAGTTTGCACAACCACTTGAATTATTACCTTCTTCAAACTCCAAACACCTAATAAATCCGACCAATGTAACAAATCTGAATGAGTGAAAGAAATCAGGATCTATACATCTAACCATTTTGATGCAACATCGGACGCCCGAGCTGCATTCTCACTTTCCCCAAACAAATGCTGTAAATTTTCTGTATCAAGTTCACAAATTGAAAAAAGTAGAATGAATATCAACTCCTTTCATCACCAAATTCTCCCTAATAGGAAGACTCCTCTTGAGTTTGAAATATCTCTTGAGCTTGAAATATTGATATGCTATGAGCTAAATGGTCTGGACCCCACAAATCCGGTCCGGCTTGGATTAGTAAAAGCCCCATGGATCCATCTCTATGTACACCTCTATGAACAAACAACATTATGTGTTTTTAGTGATTCAAATGGACAAATTACATGTAAAAAGAACATACTATCACTTGAATTTATCATAAGTCATAAGATAACACAGTTTTGAATTCGGGCGTGTTCGGCAAAACTAGCTGATAGCTTGTAGCGGGTAGCTTGTAGCGTTTTGTTAAACGCTACATGAAGTAGCTTTTAGATTTGGAGCGTTTTGTTTAAACTAAACGCTAGAAGTTTGTAGTGCCAAACAAGGCTTTCTGTTCAAAATAGAGCGTTTTGTAAAACGCTAGAAGCTAGAAGCTCTCAAACGCTCCGTGCCGAACACGCCCTTCAACGTTTAGTGGTTTACGTTATTAAAAATCAAATCACGTACACAGTTACCTATATGTCAATTTCTATTCTAAATACCAAGATTTGTTTTCCATAATAAAACAAACTATTGATTTAAAATATATATGTTTTTTTTCTTTTATTTATTTTTGTTTGGGGCGGGGGGTGGTGGTGGTGGTTGCATATTAGGTATCTTTATATAGTTTTATCAGAACAACTATAAATGTTCACATTTTTTAAGAAATATTTTATATACATTCCCTCAAGTAACCAAGTCTTTTGAAAAAATAACTAGTTTTAACTTTTAAATCGTTTCACATACATAATATATTCTGATAAATATAAACATACATAATATTTTGTGACAAATAGTATTTCTCATTTCTTAATTTAAATTTAATATATATTTGGAAAACCCGTGATTTTAGGCTTCGAACCATATCAAATCAAAAAACAGACCTTTCGCAGGTTCTAAATTCTATTTCAGAAAAAGGGCCCTACTAACCCCACGACTGCCGAGAAGTCGTTGTCGCCGCGGCGACGTCGGAGAACTTCCATAACCGTACTACTCCCATCGGTTACACTCTACCTTTCCGTCCACGCGCCGCCACCACTCGTCGCTACCTCCCAAACCAATGTCCTTGGCCGGACGTGAATTGTACGCCGGTCAACATGCGCATGGGGGTAGTAACTGTTAACCTAACGATCTGTTCTTTTCCATTTGCTTTTGGACCTTCTGTAGGGACGATGAATAATAGAAGGATAGCCATGTATGCAATAATTCCCGCCTTCTCTCATTATTTCTCTCTCACATACGAACATTGTGTGTTCTTAAGTCTCCTATTCGTGGGAATTTGATCGAAAGTCTTACCCAGTTCTTCATCGTTATTGGTATATTTAAACTGTCTATTTATTCTTGATTTTTTTTCATTTTATCTTTGAAGCTGTTGCCTCTCTTTCCAGCTCATTCATGGGGGAATGTTATCTTTTTGAACTTCTCTCCTTTTCTCATTATCACCTACACATATCCACACACACTCTAGATTCTATGTTTCTTTAATCTTTTTTTATTAGAAAGTGTTGGCTTTTATTGTTCAGTTTTGGAATTTGTTGGTGGGGTTTTGGTGTAATGGGTTGCACACCATCGAAGCAATCTGTATGCCGGAATTGCAATGCTCAATGTTCTCCGGTGCGGAGGAGCTATTCGTCAGACGTTCACCGTTCTTCTACTTCTACACACGACGGCGCCGACCACCGCCACATCGTAGCACTCACCTCCACCACCCTTGGTTACCTTCAACTCGATTCATCCAAACCCAAGGTGCGCCATGATCCAGTCCGACAAAATCTCCCGGAGAAGAACAGCAAGGATTTTGCAGTTGGAGTCATCGAGGCCAAAACATGGTCTAAGATGATCAACGAAAAGATCACGAAAACTGCTCCAAGAACGCCCATTAGAACTCCTACCGGTGAGCCAGAAACGATCAATACGTGGGAGTTGATGGAGGGTTTGGATGATTCAAGCCCTCTCCGACCACCATCCACGGTGGATTTGGATCACATCCGTCATTTCTCCTACAACGTTAATTCCAACTCTATTCCACAAGAAAAAGATCGAGATGTTGAAGTATTGTGCAAACCATTATGGCTACAAATCAAAGAGAGGAACCATTTGGATTCGAATTCAAACTCGAACAACACATCTATTGCATCATATCTTGATCTGAATCAAAAGCCATTAATCTGCGGAAAACAACAGTCATCCGAAGGTAACAATCTTGATGATGTGAAGAGATCGTTACAAGATGGAAAAACCGAAATTATGTATGGTCACACTCACAAAGACAAATTGATTTTATACTTCACAAGCTTAAGGGGTGTTAGAAAGACTTACGAGGATTGTTGCCATGTTCGAGTCATTCTGAAGAGTTCTGGTGTTCGAGTTGACGAACGTGATGTATCCATGCATTCGGGTTTCAAGGAGGAACTCAAGGAGTTGTTGGGTGATCGATTTGGTCTTGGTGGGGGGTTGCCGAAGGTGTTCGTTGGGAAGAAATACATCGGTGGTGCTGAGGAAATTAGGCGATTGCATGATGAGTTTCAACTAGATAAGGTGTTAGAAGGTTGTGAAATGGTGGATGACGGTGGTGGTGGTTGTGGTGGTGGAGGAGGATGTGAGGGTTGTGGAGATGTCAGATTTTTACCATGTGAGACGTGTTCTGGAAGCTGTAAGATTTACTATGAAGTTGATTCTCATGAAGGTGAAAAAGAAGAAGAAAATGATTATGGGTTTCAAAGATGTCCCGATTGCAATGAAAACGGACTCGTAAGGTGTCCAATATGTTGCGATTAAATTCGTTCGAGTTTGTTTAATATTTATCATATAGATGAAATTAAAGTTTCATAGTTTGTATAATAATAAGTGGACGATATACATTCGGTGTTTATAAGTATAGAAGATTCAATAACGACAATGCTGGTTTAAGAACTTCAAAAACATCATGGGTTTGTACCATTGATGGTTTAGTATTATTACTTTGTTTGCATAAGATCCATTTTTACATGGGTTAATTAAAAAATTAAATATAAAGGTATAAATATTTAAGAACTTTAGATTTTTTAAAAAAATAAGAAAAATAATAAATTATTAAAATTGATTTTTTTATCTTTTAAATTTAAATAAATAAACAAAATAAACTAATGAGTTTTAATTTGAGAATTTTGAAATAAGAAAGTAAGTCCATTAATAACCTCAAAATATTATATGAAATTTATTAAAATAGAAAAAACTCAAAATTACATGTGGAAAAAAAATTATTCAAAATAACCTCAAAATAATATTTGGCAAATTGAATGAAAGTGTGACATTTTTTTTGGAAAGGGAACTTCTCTAACGAGGGTTTCCGGACCAGTTTTCGTGCACCGACTAATTCCCCGCTGCAAACATGAGGCTTTGCCTCATGCCCTGGAGTCACTGCAGGCGAACCTCCATGGCCACAAGGTCTGAGTAGTGCCAGGATTAGAGTAGATTATTACCATCATTAATTTAGAGCTTCTACAGCAGCTCTTTCAACACAATTACAAAAACAAATTTGCTAGCTACATACGACAGAGTCTTCGGTCCCATAACTACTACTATTTTCTGACTACTTTGTGTATTTGGGTATTTATCATATTAATATACTAACATATGTATATATTTATATGAGAAATTGTCAGAAAAATCCTAATATTTTCGAAAAAGTTACAATTGGTTTTACACGATAATATGCAATTTCTTGTTAAAATAAAAAGAAGGTTTTTTTTTTTAATTATTAATTTGAGCCAAATTGAAATAATTGAGACTTTTATGTTCAAATTTTTTTTAGAACTAAAATGTAACTTTTCTGAAAATATTGGGATTTTTCTAACAATTTCCCAATTTATATATGAAAAATCATCTAATTTTCTTTTAATATTTTTTGATGTATCTTAACCCATTTCTAAAGTGTAACAAGATTACCAGATAAACAATAATATAAGTTTAATTGAGAGGTAGACAGTAGATGCAAAAATTAATCAAGATCAGATAAATATATATATATATATATATATATATATATATATATATATATATATATATATATAACAACCAGTTATTTGGGATCAATAAATGCCAAAGCAGTCAATAAAAGTCAGAGCAATCAATAAAATTTAAACACGTCAAATTATAAATCAAATAATTAAATAGCTAAAGATTTAATAATTAGTGATTTATACCCCACTTAAGGGTTTTCGATATTTGGAATCAAATTCCAAACCAAAACCGAAAACACAAATTGTGAAATAAAAAGTAGACCGAAATCAATTTAGGCCGAAAACCTTGCAAGACCGAAAACACTTTTCGGCCGAGATCGAAATCATGCGAGGGTGGTCCTACTCTTCGGACCGAAAACCACATAGACCGCAAACCACTTGGACCGAAAACTCTAGTTCTCGGTTGGATCTTTTGACCGAAATCCTTGTTCTCGTTTGAAAAGACAGGCCGAGATCACCCTTTTAATCGGTGGCACACATTCCAATTAGATAAATTACACATCTCAATGCATGTGTCACATCACATTAAATCCCATATATATATATATATATATATATATATATATATATATATATATATATATATATATATATATATATATATATATATATATATGTACAAACGAAAATCAATGTCCAAAACTCTCATTTTCACTTCAAAAACATCCCACATTTTCTCTCAAAACCCATACTCACGTCTTCATATCTTCATATCATTTCCCAGAAGACCTTCAAATCTTCAAACTTCTCAAGAACATCAACAAAATTTCCCAGGAAACTATTTTACATAGTTTGATTTCTAAGAAAACATTGTAAGTTTTTCTTACATAATCTAGTGTTATATAAACACTTTAATTGTCATCTCACTAATTTACAAACTATATCGTGTATAAATCTTATTAGGATACGACAATTTTTAACGTATCCTAACTCAAAGAACATTGACACCGTTTTCGTATCCGGCCAAGAACACACACTCGAGGTGAGTTCATACCCCTACGCATTTCACGATTTTTCCATGTATTAGGGGGGGGGGATACAAGTAAAACACAAGCAACCTTGTGTTAACATTCAAACTAATTCAAACTGTTTCTATCGTTATTTTTACCATATATATATATATATATATATATATATATATATATATATATATATATATAAGATTTTATGGGCTTAGGACTGGCGATTCCGCCTAACTCCTGTTCCTTGTTTGGTTGTGGGCTTAGGGTAGAAATACTTATTTCGACTATCTTTTCAATCTTAATTATATATATATATATATATATATATATATATATATATATATATATATATATATATATATATATATATATATATATATAACTTTAACCCTTTTGTAACATGTCGAGCAAAATGGTATTTTTCTTAAATATTCTCACATTTATTTTATTACCGTTTGTACAAAAATGTTAAAGCACACGAAATATTTTTATCTCAGAATTACGAACATATACATTCAACGTTGTTAAAATTGAAAAGGTTTTCATTTCATCAGAACATGCACGTTAAACTATAATAGGTATAGTTTATGGGACATAGGTATCATTTTACTAGTCAGGGATACAATACAAAAATAATTATATAAAAGTATAATTATTTACACTACGATTACACTATGAAAGGAGACATACATACAATTTATTCATTACAAAATGGCTTTTCATTATTCTACATGTAACCGTCAATATGGCTTTGTGAGACACACTTCAAGTACTTATCTAAGTGCCAACGAAAGTCCTGAATTATAACGAGAGTCTCCTGGAGGGAGAGCGTGACACTTGTGTATAGATATATACATGACTGACAATCCTGCACCTAAACTGTTAGCTACAGTTAGACCGACAGGTCTGGAGTGACAAATGTCGTATCAGTTCCGACGCCTGAAGAACATCGTGTCAGACCATCTTAGGTCATCAATCATTGTTATAATAACTCACAATTTGGTATTAACAATATGATTAGTGTACGAATACATAAATAACTTCAAATAGTTTTATTTAATAATAAAAATACAATACAATATTTTACAGTACAGCTGGTGGATCTAGACACATACATTTACATAGTTTCATACAAGTACAATTACAGTATACTATTTTCCAATACAGAGAAACTTACATTTATGTAAACATTCATTTTATGGTTTTATGTGAATTAAAACCACGTTATACTATTTCATAGTACAACAACACTTACACATTTTGGTCTTAAGGTATTAAGACTACAATTCATCTACAATAGAAAATATTGGATTTTTTGGAAGAACACACTTACATTTTTATGGGAAAAATGACAGATTTTTAATACAAAAATGCTTATAAACTCACCAACTTAATTGTTGACACTCTTTTCAAAACCACTTGTATTCTCAGGGAATCAGTAGACAGATATCCACATAGGTTTTTAGAAGACGGAGCATCATAGCGTCATGTCTTTTAGTTTTTGCTATACATTTTTGGTGTCAAGTATACAATGATTTGAACACAAATGTAAAAACTATACATTATCAATATGATGGTTGTTGTGCTTTGATTACTATTATTCAATTTTTATGATACTGTACATGACATCATCCGCCCCCGAACGTTTCCGCCGTTCTGGTTTAGGGGTGTGACAGATTGGTTTCAGAGCATTGTTTATAGTGAACTAAGTATATCAAATCACACAAGATATACAACTATAAATACAGTGGGGCTGGAACGCTATGACTAAAAGTATACTTTTAAAATATAAGTATTTTATAAGAAGTATACGAACATGCATACATACCGTTTAACAATATCACATTAAGAACTATATAAAAGTATTTAGATAAGTTGGACACTGAAGTTAAGCCTAGACAGTTATGCAATCATATCTGGGATAAATATAGCCTAATCAACTATATTTATTTGAGATACGACCAACATGTGTTTGGGAATGATCGTGGTGTTGCAACAAGTCTAAAACTTACCAACTCTATATACAAAAGGAAACTCTAGAATCAAACATAAAGTTAAAATACTATAGGAGTATTTTATGACACTAAAGCACTAGAACAACAATATTTAGGCCTCGATAGTTATATAAACTAATAGTCGAGAATGGCCTTCTTACCAGAATCAATCATGTGAAAACAAAAGACCCTTGCTGGTAGATCTATAATTGCTAAGTGTATACGTTAGTGTTATATATAACTAAGATTTTATAGACTTAGAATTTATGATTTCGCTTTACTTCCTGTTCCTTGTTCAGTTGTGGTCTTAGAGTAGGATCACTTATTCGAAGGTCTATTCGATCTTGGTTATATAGAACTTGTATACACTATGTGATTATAGGAGGTCCCGGTATGGGTCACACTATACAAATTCATTAGAATTGTTGCTATAAATTTCTTAAATAGAAATTGCGATTGTTTACTTATTTTAGTAGAATTCTATTGAAAATCGCTGATAGAACACTATAAAAGTCAGGATATGATGCGTTTAGAACTAAGATATATCTTGTTCAATATCACCTGACTCATGACCACTGTAGAGGACTTATCATCACTTCCTCTTTAAACTTTATGACAGAAAGATGCCACCACGTAAATCAAACAGACGTGTCAACAACACACCACCAACTCCACCACCGCCACCACCTTCAAAGTTTGACTCTGCTGTTTTCCAAGCAGCAGTAACAGTCGCTGTGGCACTGCCATGACACAAATCAACGCAAGTGGTGCTAGTGGGGCGGGTAGCGGTGCCAACAATTCTAACCACGGAGAAAGTCAGG